GTAATCTGAGGAGGGAAACACACATACTGGGCTTCAGTCCAAAGAGCCAACATTGCTAAAGACAGTGAGGGATGGGCCGGCTTGGGGTCCACCATTCCCTCATAGAGAGTGTCCTCCTTTACATACATATCAGTGCAGCATTGCACGGTTACTGCAAAACACTTGTATACAGTGGCGTAACAATCGCCATAGCGACCCAGGCGGACGCTATGGGGCCCGGGCACAGGGAGGCCCGGCCTGGGTCGCTATGGCATGTGGGGGTGCTGGCTGTCACAGACACAGCTCAGCAGCGGCCACGGAGCATTTCCCCTAATAGCCGCTGTGTCAGTGACAGCCAGCCGCTGCGGCAGATGAGGACGGTGTTCGGAATGGAGGAGGCGGGGCCCACCTCCTCTTACATCACTGGCCAGCGACCTAAGAGCAGGTGGGGGCCAGTGATGCAAGAGAAGGCGGGGACCGTCGAAACAGAGGAGGCGGGGCCCAGGGACGGAACAGGAGTAAGGTCCCGGCGACCACAGAGGCGCTGACAGGTAAGAGATCTCAGACCCTGCAGAGCCCACTATAGGGCTCTGCTGGGTCTATGGTGGGCTCTGCTGGGTCACTCTCCGCTGGGGCACTGCAAGGGGCATAACTAGCAATCACGGGGCCCCATACAAAATTTTGCTATGGGGCCCTGTGATTTCTAGTTACGCCCCTGCTCGTATACCATTCATAACACCAGTAAACAGATTTTTATTAAGGAAACCATTTTTTTAGGTATACTGCTGGGCTGTATCTTTTGTATCACTGGGCTGTGTGGGCTCTCAGGTGGCCGGTGTGGAAGCAAAGGTGGTCAGTGGGGCTCTCAGGTGGGCAATGGGGCTCTCTCACGGTCAGTGCAGCTATCTGGTGGTCAGCGGGGGCTCCCTGGTGGTCAGTGCGGGCTCTCTGGTGGCTAGTGCTGGCTGTCTGGTGGCCAGTGCAGGCTAATATAGTGTGCTGTATGTACACACATAGCTATAGTGGGCCATTCTTCTACAAGAGAGCAGGTGTTCTATCACTTCACTCACCTCCCCTCACTCCAGACATGACACATAAAACGATGTGTTACGCCTGCCCGCTCCCTTCTCTCTGATCCTCTCTGGCCCCCCAATGTTGCAGCGCCATCTAGCGGCGCAGCTGGAGAACTGACTTTGCTGCGCTAGGAGGAGGCAGAAGAGCCTCTCACCTAGCGCAGCAGGAGGCATGTGGAGACCCCCTCAACTGTGTTATCCACAGGTTGAGAACCACTGTCTTAGAGTGTAAGCTCTCAGGATTACCCCCCCCCCCCACACACTTTTGTTCTTTTTTTTTTTTT